AAGAAAGAAAGAAAGAACGTTTAATAATGAATTGCCATTTCACTATATTTTTCATTATTATTTACCCATTCAAATTGGTAAAGCATCTGATACTTTCATTGTTTGTCTTGATTTTACAACGGAATGTAACTAAGAATTATTAACATTTTTTTTTAAAAAACATGTTGTATCGTTATATGGCATGATATCGAATATGGAATAAGGAAACGTATTTAAACAACTATTCACATGACATCTGAGAATAAATTCGAGAAATACCGAGAAATCAATTACAATGCCGTACATAATTTAGTAACTGAAATCAAGTCAACCACTATGATGAACCAAAAAAGCCGTCCATCTCATTTTGTTACTATATTGTGCATAAATCGAGAAGTGAACAAAGGAAAAACAGGCATTAACAAGGTACGTGGACTGATTCACATGCAACATACATGTATATGGTACATGTAACAAATTCTAGTAAACTAATCAAATTTGCTGAAATTAGAAATTGAAAAAAACTTACTCACCTTGACTTTTAGCTAAAGTGACTTCAGCGAACAGGTTTTATAGTAATGCTAGCTGTTCGCTGAAGCCATTTCCGTATCGAAAGTCAACCAGAAACGTGACATATTTCTGTCATGCTGTAATTCAATAAATTTGCGTGATCTAGACAAAAGCTATTTTAATACATGTAGTTAGATATAAATGGGACACTTTGACAGTCTATATTTTTGAACACAGAACGTAAGATTGATGAAATTATGCCTCAAAGTTTATCATTGGGTGCACATTTCATGAAATTCGCCGCCATTGCTGCCCTAATTATCATGTGACTAGCGTTTGGATACCTTTGCATGACATGGTGACCCGTGACCCAAATGCTATTTTTCATTGAAAACATGGCTTTGCCATTATGAATAACGGCGTATTTATTCAATAACAGACATTGAACCAAAAACAAGTTGGACTTATATTGTTTGGATTGATGATTCATGAATTATTTGTTTGTTTCAATTTAATTTAAAATTGTACACTTAATACTAAAAATGCAAACTAGTCAAAACGGCCCCAAATTCGATCGGCCCCAAGTCAGATCGGCCCCAAAATTAGTCAATTCGGCCTCAAATTAGTCAAATCGGTCCCACAACAATTTTCAAAAGTCAAATCGGCCCCAAAACTAGTCAAATCGACCCTAAAACTAGTCAAATAGGCCTCACAACTAGTCAAATCGGCCCTAAAGTTATTTTTATGAAAAATCCTATTTTGGTATAAATTCGCCAAAAATTAAAAGGTTATTAACTGAGAATTGTACTTTAACATAAATGTACCAATTAAAAACAATTCATTACAATATTGAAACAGTTTTGATGCTAGTGATAATTGTTATTAATGTAATTATGCAGGTGTGCTATGGTTGTTGATTGAAAACTGCTTGATTTTTTATAAATCATGATTTCTTGGTGCATGCATTCTAATAAATATACATGTTATGTGTATGTTTAGATGATGGGTATTATGCCCCAGTCAGAAATAAAGCATATGTTCTGTTCTGTTATGATTATTTTGTCCAAAAAATACTTATTTTTAGAGATATCTATCCAATTAAAGAGTTAGACGTTTAATCAGATAGCATGTTGTTCACACTTTAAATTAGCTGTTTATTAGTTACACGTGTCCGACACATCTGGATATATTATATATTTAATCAATCTAAATTTAATTTCTTTATATTAAAAACTATAAAAGAACTATAAAAGAAATTATATCACCAACAACTTAAGACGTCCACGTTTTAGACTGTGCCGTCTTTATTTAAAGCTGAAGTAATCACATTTTATTAAAAAAAATGAGTAATTCTACTTACATTGATTCCATCTCTGTGTATAAAATCATAATTAACAAAATTGAAAAAAAGTCTTAGTATAATTATAAAACATATATATTAAACTCTTGATAAAAATGACTTCAGATGAATATAATAAATTCGATTTATTATTATATGTTTAATAGGTTTTGTTCTTTGTTTTCTATGTAATCCATTTTTTGTCATTTGGTATCCCCATCCATACAATTGTTTTTTTTTATCAACATTTAAAAAATAAGAAAATGAATATTGAATTAAGAAAATAAAAAAAAATGTTAAAAATAGTGTATTGTCCGTTACTAAAAATAGATGCTAGACTTCCCAAAACTTGAAGTCCCGCGAGATTTCATTTGAAATCAGACGACATATTGGTAAATACTTTACATATTTCCCTAACAAATAGTTGGATACACAATGTTATTGAAGTTTCATTTAAAAACAAAACATGAATTGATTCCAAATTTATTTGTTTATCAAATGGTATTTTTATTTGACCCAAATTTGATTAATAAGGGTGATTTTAGTAGGTTTTATGTACGGAACTCGAACTGGCAAATTCTGGTAGCCTTTGCAAATAGGGTTGACCCATAACTTTACTGTCGCAAACGTCAAAATAAAAGCGACATATAAAGTTATAGAAGCCAGAACTATTTGACTTTATGCATTGTTCTAACATTCAGGTTTTGCTTGCATCGCTACTTGAAAGGGAGTTAATGACTAAAGTAATGTGAATGACATTTCTAAAAATATAAGAATAAAACCCTCGTACTGCTGAATTTTTCAAAACAGGTTACCAATATCATATCTATATGAAATCTGGTTCCCAGCATATATTGGTTCCAATATCATATCTTGTCTGGTTCCCATATTCTAATGTAAACATATACATTTGTTTGTAATGGTCTGTACTTGATGACTACCATTCAAATATTGTATGAGCATTTTTTTGTCATTTTAATATTCATTTTCATTCATCCGCTTACATCAACTTAAATAAAAAAGTTTAAAAAAGAACGAATAATTAAATAAAAGAAGAAAGAAAGAAGGAAAGAAAATAAGGATGCTTTCGATTCCAGTTTTTATTTGTTTTGGTCGTCAGACAAAACAAATAATGATAGCGAAATTTCATACCCTGATGCTGTTAATTGCAAATGCCGAAAGTAGTCCTTTTTGAAGCGGTTACTCCCCTTTATATTTGTACACGAACGCCAAAAAATCGGGGGAGATCACTGCGTAAAGATGATCAAATGACAGGCGCATTAGTTTTCAAGCAAAATAGTTCCCGAATGTTCGAAGTTTTCTAATATTGTTCTTTGTTCTTTATTATAGCATAAAATCGGCTATTTTTCCCTCTTTTGCCCATGTTATAACGGGACCAAAACCATGTGTTAACATAGTCACGCGCTCTTGTTATAGCCCGGTTTCACCTATGCGCAATACATACAGGGCCCAGTAAACAAACAAACAAAAAATGACGATTTGGCCTGTTTGCCGAAGAGTCATGCGTTCTTGTTATATTGAAATTTATTGATTCGAGGGCCTCAGTCGCATATTCCAGTAACTATGCCGGAAAAACGGCGTATAGACATCGGTGCTAATCTTGGTTGTCGCCCTTTCTAAGAAACGGACAGTTGTCAATGTAAACAAATACAGTAGAATCTACCTGTCATTCAGTTTAACACTCCGATTAACTTACAAAACTAGATAACACAAAATTAATATGAGAAAATGTTTTTTATTTATGTTAATGTTGATAAATGCTCTTTATATTTCTTTGAGAGAATAATGCTTAGTGCCTGATTTTTTTATAAACTTGTTTGCTTGAAAAAGAAAACCGATTCTGATGTCACTGATCTTTTTTCTATCGTCAATCTGAAATCACTCTAAGAATTTCTGAGGGTCATGTTTTGTCTTGGGTAGAGGATAGAGTAATGTAATGTTTTTTTCTTGAGATAATAAATCTCCAAAGGCCAAGCTTTGTTAAATCAATTATAATTCAAAATTTCGTTCGGTTCCGAGAATTTTCCAAGTTGTTGGCCCCGGAAAAAAGAAACGCATACGTAAAACATAGAATTGGATAAATACCGTCCAAGCACAAGAATTTAATGTAATTGTGTTTTGTATAAACTATACATCACAAATCTGTTTGAAAATTTTATGCTATAATAGCGTCAACGCACGTTTATTTCGTGTTATAAAGTCTGCAGAGTCCCTCGGAACTGTTGGAGCCCTCGCCCTACCGGGCTCGGGCACCAACCGTTCCTCGGGACTCTGCAGACGTTATAACACGGAAAAACGTGCGTTAACCCTATATAAATATACATGCTTATAGTAAGGTCCGTGATTATTTACATCTGTGTTAAACAGCAGTTATAGCGACGAAATAATAAGTGTTACTAACCTTTATTAAGAATAATATGGTTTTCTTCAGGCTGTTAACACATAGCTTCACCATAGTCGATCGGTTTGCGCGCTTGCTTAGGAAGCGAAAGGTCTGGGGTTCAAATCCCAGTTAAATCAACTCATTTTTTTTCAAATTGTTTAACCCTTTACCACATATATACGCGAAACAACGCACTTTCGACCCCCCCCCCCTTTTTAGGGCTCAAATAGTGAAAAAATGTCCTATTTGGGCCCCTAACATAAGTTTTCGTTTGAGAAATGTTGCTAAAAAAATTGAGCACTTTTTCGGCGCCGCCCCCCATCCAAAAGATACATCAGGGGGTTGCCAAGAAAATTTTGGACCTGTGAGAGGCTAAAAATGACCCCAGGTCGATCATAATGTAACGTTTAACCAACGCTGAAAAGCCTTTGACTCTATCTCAATCCCTTGAGCAGTTACAGCACTTTGAAATAAATTTTGATGGAAAAAATCGAGGCAAAATAGTGATTTTTGGCAATTTTGAGATGTCCCCTCGTTGCCATGGTAACAGGAAATTTAAGACTGAGCATGTCGTTACAAAGGCAATGGTCCAGTGAACATTGGTGCCAAGTTTGATTAGTATTGAAGCATTTTTCATAGTTTCATAGCAGTTTGAACTTGTAACAGGAGGCTTTTCAGTGAAAACGGCCATTTTTCACAATATGCTCATGGGGGAAAGGGTTAAATCAAATAAACATTGAATTGAATATCTGCGTTGCAATTAGTCTTATAGCCAATTTACTACAATTAAAACGCTGGAAATCATTGGTGGCACTATACAAAAACAAATTGGTTTATAATCTCACAACCTTCACCTTTCTGACATTCTGAGACCCAAACAAATTCAGTGCCTTCTGTGCTTTGATTTATTACTGGGTATTGATTACACATAGTTACTCCCCTTTGATAAATGATCGTCATTAACCCTGCCAAAAAACCATCGTGTTACAATTTGTTTCAATAGAATATCTCAGGTAAAAAGGTTTAATTTATATATTTAGTGGTGAAAGAGTACTTTATATGTATATGATCAATGTATTAATACAGTACTGTAATGCTATGTGTAATTATGTACTAGTTCAAGTTAAGATAAAAAAATTTGAGTGAGTCTAAAATTAAAGTTTCCTTTTAAAAGGAATGGCTTGCACAGTTGTGCCTTCATCCCAACCCTTTAATTTTTTGTTTTTGTTTCAATTTTTATCACATTTTTTTTTAATTACGGTATTTGTATATCATAAAAGGGTTTATTTAGTTGGGGTTGTTTTTTTTGGAAAACCGAATATTTTTTGTGTAAACGATTTGAAATCTATTCTCTATTGTATAAAACTAATAAAGAAAATGATCAATCGTAAAATTACTAACATGATACTGAAGGGAAACAAGTGTGCACATTTCATTACCCCTTTTTCGCAGCGAAATCATTCCTTTGCTTTATAGACAAGTAAATGCACTAAAATACTTCGTTACGTGGTACCAATTAATAAGCATGTATCAACTATGTTACACGATCACATATAGACAATGCGCTATCTGTAGATCATTACGTATATGGATGGGCTATTTTTAGATTACCTCACCAAGAAGTTGAATTGCGTTCAGTAGATCTAAATATAACTCGATCCTGCGTGATTTGGTAAGCAGGACCACCCTTTGAAGACGGATTACTAAGTACTACAGTCACCATTCTCTATTGTATAAAACTAATACAGACAAAAAACAATTATAAAAGAAACTAACTTTTGCGTCTTGAAAAACAATGAAACGGAACAATTTCGTTTATAATTTATTACGGTTTAAACCGATAAATCAAGTAAAAATAGAAATCCTATTTATATAAACAAACTGGGATTACCGAAGTTACTAAAATAGCTTAGATTTCCGTGATATTGCTTCGTCTGATTCCGCAGTATGACGGAATCGCCCGAATCGTCATGATTGCAAACGGAACTACATCAGCTATTATCATTAATCCGAAGAGTGACGTAAAAGGCCGAAAAGTTGCGATTGGCACGATTGCAGCTGGTTTCCCGTTCAATCATGCACTAACAATTGGAAACAGGAAACCACCTTACTGGAACAAGTTATTCAAAACAAATGGCTTGCAGCCATGGCTGCAAGCCAAAAAAGATTGGAGCACCACACTAAATACCGTATTCCGGTATATAACGGACAAGGGGCTTAAATGATAAAATGATAAAGTCTTGCCTTTTTACCCATCGGAATGACTTTTGATAGGTCTAATCCATCTTTTCACACCGATTTAGGTATGATAATGAATGAAAAATGTAAAAATCGGCGAAAAAAACAATATTTGTCTATTTTGTGACCATGATTTCTGCAAGCGTCTAGGTACTGCTCCAATCCTTTATTGAGCTAAATCCAAAATTATTGACCTTTTTGAAAACCTAGCTAAACACCGTTTTCCGGTAAGTTATGGATTTAGCTCTGGGGAATTATCAATTACACCAAATGAAGTACATAACAAAGTTACATGATATTTCTATTTTTCTACCATTATTTTACTGTTTAAGGTGAAAAAATTGATGTATTTAAAAATAATCAATATTCCTTTAATATTTATTGCAAATTTTTCAAAAATAAATTGTTGATAATGAAAATCAATAAAATTAAAACAGATGTAGTGGAATCTTCCATAATAAATAACGTCATTTTCTGCGTAAACTTTTGTATCACTTTATTTTTTTATTGAATTATTCATACAATGATATTTAATATAATTTTCTTATAAAGAAATAGATCGATCTAACTGTTTTATAAAAAAAAGGCTGAAAACAACGAGTTCGCTATTACACTCCATTAGGTGAATTCCCCAGAGCTATGTACAGAAAGTACCGGAAAACGGCGTTTAGCTAGGTTTTCGATTTGTGAATTTTCTGTACTGTAACTTTATCACAATCTTTTATAATTTAACAATAAAAGAGATAGAAATTATTACCACAACGTTCTACAGCCGCTAGATGAAATAGAGAATACTTTACATACAAAAGGCTAAATGCACATATTCCAACACTCCTAGCTAAGTACATTTACTAAGAATCAAGGTCGGAAATCATATATTTGTTTGATATTGACCTTTTCGAAAACCTAGCTAAACTCTGTTTTACGGTACGTTACGGATTTAGCTGTGGAGAATTACACCAAATGAACTACATAAGGTCCATAACACTATAACATGATATTTCTATTTTTATATCAATATTCTGCTGTTTAAGGACAGTGCATTTGGTATCTAGCAGTACTTAGTAATGTTAAGATTGCACTGAAAACATGTATAAATAAGTATTTTCAATGATGTTTAGAATTGATAGTTAATGATTTTTATACAAATTTGCAGATCAACACATTTGAGAAAATTAAAATTCCTTGGAAGGAGAATTAACCACCAGTAGACAGAATCCAACAGCTCCCTGAATTGGTACAAAGGCACTGTGCTTTTTGTTTCTTCTGGAAAATACGGAAATCCTGACTCATTATATGATGTGCTATATGAAGGCGAAGACGCGTCATATGAAGTAGATTCTTTGATCAAGACTATATATAATAAATAGGGGTGTAACAATACAGCAAAAACCGTATTGCAATATATTGTCATTTTGCTGAAGCGTATTGCAATATATTGCAATACGTATTGTCTATATATGTTTTGATGGAGTAACATTCATATACTTTTATTATATGTATATATTTTTAGTAGAAACTTAATAAAAATGTAAGGAATAAATTGAAAGTAAAGTGTCACACAATTTGATAAACAAAACTAGTCGCGTGTGACCTTTCACATCTGGTCGCTTATGTAAATTATGCGGCCGCTTATTATTTTTAAGTGTACTAGTTGTCGGATACTTTTATCTTACGTTGGCGCCAACAAAATTCGCCAATTAAAGATTTTATGTGAAATTTGTACAAAATTAGAAGGAAATTAATTGAAAATTATGATTTTTATAAAATACCGGTTTTCCAAACATCGTACCGCGGTACGAAATTTATTTTTTCATATTGCAATATATCGGTATACCGGTAAACCGTTACACCCTTAATAATAAAGGCACCTTAACTTTCCTAGTTTTTTTATGGTATACTTTGTTATTCTACTAATTCATTTTATACTATGTACTGTAACTATGTTTTTATATTTAAGAATTGTATTTAAAAATTATTTAAATAACATTATGCATATTATCATAATATTATAATTTGCTTACAATCATTTTAATATTAAAATGATATTACAACAGCTGTTGAATGCAATGAATACTATAATAATGTCCACTTTCTGAATTAATGGCTTTTATGTTTAATTAATTGTGCAAGAAAGTCATTATTTAATTTATTATAATGACAAATTTTCAAGTACGTATATTATCCTGTTTACCTTAAGGATTATTGCAGTAGGTTTTCTTTTAACAGTAAAACATGTCTATAATAGTACACCATTCTTAACCTTGGACTACTTTTTGTATACATGCTATGTAAACATAGATAATGCTATGTTTACTGGCCTTATTGGAATATAAATTTTCACTTAATAAATATTTTTTTCAGGTAATGGAGATTCATTGTCACTAAAATAGATGTCACTTTAAAAGTTTTCATTCATCATATCACATATTCATCATTGGAAGGAACTTTATTTTGACATACAAGTTTCATGTGCTGCAAATTGATTCAGGTAAGGCTTTTGTCTTTATTTTAATTTTCTTTTTCTTTTTAGGCAATGTAACAGCTTTATAGGTAAAGCACCAATGCCTTACCAGTTTTTTTTTACAAATGTACCTCAGAATACTTAAATTGAAAGTTTTAATTTTTGTGCTAATTTTTTCAACGAAACAATATGGCTGCCATTTGCAATTTTTGAGCTTCCTAATTAACATTATCATTTTACCAGATATTCGGTATTTAAAGCAACTTCATTAAGGCCTAACAGAGTAGAGTTTGCTCGCCCATATGGTCTTTTTTTCGGTGGCCAGGGTAAACAAACGCAAACACACACACGCCGGACATAGTATAACGTGTACCTCAGTTGTCACATATTCGTATACCAAATACAGTAAAAAAAGACAGTTAAATTTATTTTTTTCTTCCTCTTATTATTTTATTTCATTATATTTTTATTATAATTTATTTATCTATTAATTTTTTTTGCAATATTATCACGTTTGTCAGTTATTCAATTATAAAATAGTTTGCTATTATCTTCTATTTAGGGACAGAGATTAATTCAAATAACATAAACACTTGCATACATAATAAAACAGTAATATCATGGCTGCAGATAGCATGCGTATTTGCGTTATTACCCAATTAAAATGTCAAAAAACGCAATAGAAATAATAACTAAGGGTAAGAAAAAGTAAATAAATTCTTATTTATGCAAACTACATTTGAACTGGTGCGTAATGACGTAAATTATACTTATCACAGATCATACTGTTTCAAACTGTTTTAACCTTTAACATGTTTAAATTATATCAGGCAGCTTTGAAATCTCCTAGGTCAATAAACCATCAAGCATAGTAGTAAGTAGCATTTTTATTACCATACAAAACCTACAAAAATCTACAATGAAGGTCAGAAATTTTGGGTAAAATACATAAACTTGTGCTTTATAACCCAAATTGGTTAGAGAGGGTAGGGTAAAAAATACAGAAATAACTCTAAGAAAATAGAAAAAACTCACAAAGATCACAAAACAAGGGTTAATTAGTCTAATTACCCAATACATGTATATACAAAATGTTATCTGTAGCCCTGAATATATCTTATTTTTTATCAATATAATTTAACACAAAACATGATATAATTTTTTTTTTTAGTATTACAATTTAGTGAATTTACTTAACATTGATTCAGTACTTTGCGTTTTTGTTATGAACTGAAGGAGGGGAAAGAATCAGAATCATTTTTAATTGAGGTAGCTTTAGTGTAATGCTAATATTTAGCGTGACTTCGCACTAAGTTTGTATACCGCGAATTACGCCACGTCAAATTATACACACGGCCGTGCAATTTCATGTTTTATGCTATTGCAAAAGCACAATGGGTATGTGTCAAACATTTCAATAAAGGTTACAGCTGTTTGTAAATATAGAGTGTCTTCAAAAGCTAAAATTTTTAAGATTCATTAAAGGGAGACACAGGCAAATTTCCATTTTTTTTAATTTTGAACTTTTTATCCATCATTCTGTAAATGTCTAGGAAGTCACAGGAACAAACGTTTTCTCATTATAAAGTATTGTAAATTATAATGGTTTTCTAACCACTAGGGTGAGATTAGAGCGTAAAGATTTCACAATAATTGTCACAGTGAACTTTGGAAACGCTAAAGAACATGTCAAATGAATGACTTAGATTTGTTTGAATCATACAATATCATCAACAGCTGTTATTGTAACGTCCATGGTTTGTTCAAGTCACATAACTTGTTTCAAAATTACTTGGTGATTCTTTCGGCTTTGGAATTTCGTTCAACATATATAGATACATTTACGCTTCAAACCCAAAATTTATAGAATTTATTGCAGAAATTCATGCTGGGATCCAGCTTTAGCGTGATTTTTGTGTCGCCTCTACGGAGTAGTGGCGACATATAGGGATTGTGTCGCCTCTACGGAGTAGTGGCGACATATAGGGATTGTGTCGTCTCTACGGAGTAGTGGCGACATATAGGGATCACTTCTCCGTCGTCTGTCTGTCCGTCTGTCCGTATGTCTGTCCGTCACAAACCTTGTCCGGACTACTCCTCATAAACTACTGGTGCAATTTCATCCAAACTTTACAGGAATGATCAGTACTAAGTCTAGTTGTGCATATTGTCAGCATTTTCCGGTTCAATGATTTTTGGCAGAGTTATGGCCCTTTAATAATTTTTAATTTTAAAGTTTGTCCGGACTACTTCTCTTATACCACTAATGCAATTTCAATGAAACTTTACAGGATTGATCTATAGCTCAAGTCCTTGCGCATATTGCAAGGGTTATCCGGTTGAATGATTTTTGGCCGAGTTATGGCCCTTTGATAAAAAAGGTGTTTTTTCTGTGTGTTGCCAGATACGCAAAAGCTTGTCCGGACTACTCCTCATTAACTAATGGTGCAATTTCATCCAAACTTTACAGGAATGATCAGTACCAAGTCTAGTTGTGCATATTGTCAGCATTTTCCGGTTCAATGATTTTTGTCAGAGTTATGGCCCTTAAATAACTTTTATTTCTAAAGTTTGTCCAGACTACTTCTCTTATACCACTGAAGCAATTTCAATGAAACTTTACAGGATTGATCTGTAGCTCAAGTCCTTACGCATAATGCACGGGTTTTCCGGTTGAATGATTTTTGGCCGAGTTATGGCCCTTTGATAAAAAGGTGTTTTTTCTGTGTGTTGCCAGATATGCAAAAGCTTGTCCGGACTACTCCTCATAAACTACTGGTGCAATTTTATCCAAACTTTACAGGAATTATCATTACCAAGTCTAGTTGTGCATTGTCCGTCTGTCTGTCTGTCAAAAAACTTTGTCCCAACATGAAATTGGCCATCATGAGGCGACACATGTGATTACTGATTGCTCTTGTAATCATAAGATTATTTAGATATTTTTATGCTTCCCGAAAAATTTTGGGGAAGCATATAGTCGCTCTTTTTCTGTCCGTCTGTCTTCACTATCGAATAGGGATAGGGGGCCATCTAACTGTAAACAGAACAAAAGAGAACAATAGAATTCATTTTGTAACAATAAGATAAGGGGCCATGGCCCTCTATTGAATAAAAGAAAATAACAATAGAAATGGCTGTTTATTCCTTTGGGGGGGGGGATTTAGATTTACCCTTGTCCGTCCATCCATCCGTCAGTCCTTCCGTCCGTCTGTTCCTTTTTGTGTCACATGTAGCCCAAAAAGTAATTGACCTAGAGTCATGAAACCTTACAGGAATGTTGTTCAGCATGTTAAGTTGTGCACCTGGGTGTTTTCATGTGGATATATTTAGTATTTTTAGAGTTATTGCCCTTGGCTTAGTAAAAATTTCCAATTTTTAACTTGTGTCGCACATAACTCAAGAAATATTTTACCTAGAGTCATGAAACCTTACAGGAATGTTGCTCAGCATGTGAAGTTGTCCACCTGGGTATTTTCATGTGAATCTATTAAGTATTTTTAGAGTTATTGCCCATGAATGAGTAAACATTTACAATTTATCTTGTGTCGCACATAACTCAAAAAATATTTGACCTTTAAAGTCATGAAACCTTACAGGAATGTTGATCAGCATTTGAAGTTGTGCACCTGGGTATTTTCGTGTGGATATTTTTAGTATTTTTAGAGTTATCGCCCTTGACTTAGTAAAAATTTACAATATTTAACTTGTATTGCACGAAACTCAAAAAATTTATGACCTGTAGGCCTAAAAATCTACAAGAATAGTGGTCAGCATGTGTACTTCTGCACCTTTGGATTTTGTTGTGGCTTTATTCAGTATTTGTAGTATTTGCCCTGTACTTAAAAAAAGATTTTTAGTTTTCAACTTGGGTACATTTAGCCAAAAAAGAAATTTGACCTAGAGACATAACATTGACAAATCGATGGAGTGTGTGGGCACCCGTGTCCTATGGACACATTTCTAGTTTGTTCAAGACATAAGTTTGAAACAACAAGAGGTATCAACATGAAACTTTGTAGGTAGATAGATCTCATGAAGTAAGTGTGCAGTGCACAAGAACCATAACTCTGCCTTTCCTCATTTTTGAATTATTGCCCTTTGTTTAGTTTTACACTTTGAACATTGTCCGGGACATAACTCTGAAACTACATGAGGTATCAACATGAAACTTTGCAGATACATAGATCTTATTGTGTAGGTTTGCAGTGCACAAGAACTGTTACTCTTTCTTGCTTAATTTTGGAGTTATTGATCTTTGATCATTTTGACACTTTGAACTTTGTCCGGGACATTACTCTAAAATTATAAGAGATATTGACATGAAACTTTGTAGGTAGATAGGTGTCATTGGTAAGAAGTGCAGTGGGAAAGAATCTTTACTCTGCTTTGCCTAATTTTGAAGTTATTGACCTTTGTTTATTTTTACTATTGTCCGTGACATAACTCTAAAACTATTAGAAATATCAACATGAAACTTTGTAGGTAGAAAGATCTTATTCGATAGAACTGCAATGCTAAAGAACTTTAACACAGCCTTGTCTAATTTACAGTTATTGCCCTTTTACCCGGGAAATAACTCTGAAGTTATAAGATATCATCATGAAACTTTATAGATAGATAGATCTCAATGAATAGAAGTGCAGTGCTGAAAGACATAACTCTGCCTTTCCAAATTTTGGAGTTTTTGTCCTTTGTTCATTTTTTTTATACTTTCCTGTGTCAAAAAACTTCTCGGGGAGCATCACCCTGTTAAACCGGTTCTTCTTTGTCATTAATTTGCATGAATATCCCTTTTATATATGTGCCTTGTAGGAGGAAAATATGTTGTAAATTATTGCTTTAATTCAGGGTCTTTTTTCTATCAAGGAAATACAGGCAGACAAGCTGGAAAGTAAAGACACAATTAGTGGGAAACTATAATGAGTACATGTTGAAAGAAATAAGATGCTCAGCTGATGTAAATTACAAAAATGACACAGAAATGTGAACACATATAATCAACGAAATTCTCTGAACACACATATGCAAACACACACTGGTGAGAAGAATAACAATTTATTATGTGTGATAAAGCAGTTTCTCTACAAAATAATTTGAACATGAATATGGAAATACACACTGGCAAAAAGAATCTTAAATGTAACATGTGTGATAAAGGATTTTCTCAACAGAGTAATTTGAACAAGCATATGACAATAGACACTGGTGAGAAGAATCATAAATGTGAAGTGTGTGATAAAGCATTTTCTCAACGAAGTGATTTGAACCAGCATATGACAATACACACTGGTGAGAAGAATCATAAATGTAAAGTGTGTGATAAAGCATTTTCTCAATGAAGTCATTTGAACCAGCATATGACAATACACACTGTTGAGAAGAGTCATGAATGTAAAGTTTGTGATAAAGCATGTTCTCAACGAAGTGATTTGAACAAGCATATGACAATACACACGGGCGAGAACAATCATGAATGTAAAGTGTGTGATAAAGCATTTTCTCATCAAAGTAATTTGAACCAGCATATGACAATACACACTGGCGAGAAGAATCATATATGTAAAGTGTGTGATAAAGCATTTTCTCAACGAAGTCATTTGAACCAGCATATGACAATACACACTGGCGAGAAGAATCATAAATGTAAAGTGTGTGATAAAGCATTTTCTGTACGAAGTAATCTGAACCAGCATATGAACATACACACTGGTGATAAAAATCATGAATGTACACTGTGTAATAAAGCATTTTTTCAACACGGATCTTTGAGCAGGCATATGAAAAAAGTACACGCTGACAAGAAGAGTCATAAATGTAACGTGTGTGATAAAACATTTTTCCAACTAAGTACTTTGACCAGTCATATGAAAATACACACTGGCAAGAAAAATCATAAATGTACTATGTGTAATAAAGAATTTTTTCAACAAGCATTTTTGATCAGACATATGACAGTACACACTGGCGAGAAAAATTATATATGTAAAGTGTGTGATAGAGCATTTTCTCTACAAAATAATTTGATCAGGCATATGAAAATACACACTGGCGAAAAGAATCATAAATGTAAAATTTGTGGTAAAGCATTTTCTCAAAGCAGTAATTTGAACAAGCATATGACAATACACACTGGTGAGAAGAATCATAAATGTACAATTTGTGATAAAGCATTTTCTGTAGAAAGTTATTTGATCAGGCATATGAAAATACACACTGGCAAAGGTTAATAAAAGTAAAAACTACACGATAAAAGTGTGATATATTTCGCATGATCAATCAATATACTTTAAAGAAAGTTTGGGCAAACTTTGAAAACATTGTGGTAAATTTTAGGCATATTTTGTATAAGGCTTTTTATATAGGGAACTGATCTAATAAGTGTTTAAAGTTGTTGGGGTATGGTAACATTTTTATACATATTAAGTTATGTTGTGTGTTAATCATTTTTCTCGTGTAATGTTATATTATTTGTTTCTTAACAATGATGAATAGCAAAATATTTTTCAGAATGATGATATTATAGATTATTTAGAATTTCCCTATTTCTGAAAAAAGCCCCTTTATAAATTATTTAGAGTTTCCCTATTTCTGAAAAAAGCTCCTTAAATAGCAAAGGTTAAGTTCAGAAATATATCCATAAATCATAAACCACTCGGTAAAAGCCATTTAAATTTTGCATACAGGTGACCTTTAAGGCATATAACTGTCCTATGTTGTCAATTTTACAGTTTCTTTTGTGCCCATTAGCCATGGTCTATCTTAAGACCTCAAATTTTATATCTTTTAAGCCTGCTTTATAACACACACAAGTTTTTAAACTGTCCTCCTCATAAAATTCTCACTGTAAATGTTATGGGGCTTTTATCAACTCTTTGTATCAGTATTTTCAATACTTGTAATGTTAATTCGATGGATGTATAACTTTTATTAAGTTAGTTCTAATGGGTGGTTTATTATTATCAATGACCAGATGTAAATAAATCATGATATTTGCCTATTAAATCTAATTTTGTTATGTTCTTCATTGCTCATTTTCATAAATATTTAATTTTTTTAAATTGTTCTTTTCTACAACTGCATAAGATCTTCATTATAATATTCCAATTTTTTTTCACCCTTCCCATATTTACACTACTGACAAACGTGCGCTTGAAGAAGACAACTAAACAGTCGTTTTTATCATTCTCAAAATAATCAGTGTTAACAGATTGCGTGGTGAATCAATTAGTAAGATAGCCATTTCATTGCTGAGCAAACATTTAGAATGTCAAGTTATCGCAGCTGATTATGTCATTATTTAATGACTTTCAGCATAAGCGTTTCCTAAATAAGTCTGGGATGAGTGTTTGATTATTGAAGTTATAGCAAAGGATTGGGAAACTTTAACCCGATCGATGATATTATTTACGGGCAATTTATGAATAATTTATACAAAACAGTTTTTTTAGAAACGTAAAAATACAAAATAACACTTTCACTTTTAACAACATAATAATGAATATAGATTAAGCTTTTCAATAAAGTGTGCACGTTTAACAAATGCAACTGAATAAATACCTATAAACAGATATAATAAAGAAAGCCCAAACGGTAGTATTGCATACTATTTTGATATTTGATGACCATCCAAGCAATATATACCATTAAAAAGCAACATATCTACAAATTTCAATGCAGACGCCCATATTAGTTATATTAATTATATTAAATCACTATAAACCCTTTCTTCGATGAAGTTATCAAAAATAACCAAGTTAAACGTATACTTTGATTAAGTTGTTTAAAGATTACCACGTCTTTAAACTTATTCTTTGTTTAAAGGTTTCATCGATAACTGATTGAAACTTCCTTTTTGCTGAAGTTATCAAAGATAACTTTAAAGCCACACTTCGCTTCTGAAAGTGTGTAAACATAATCTCAATAAAACCATACTCCGCTTCAAATTTTCAAACATAACAACTTTAAAACGGTACCTTGCTTCAAGTGTTCAAACATTATCTCTTTTAAACCATACTTCGCTTCATGTTTTCAAACATAACCACTTTAAATAAAGCAATACTTCGCTTCAAGTTTCAAAGATAACCACTTCAAAACCATACTTCGCGTCAAATGTTCAAACATAACCACTTTAAAGCCATACTTCGCTTCAAGTGTTCAAACATAACCACTTTAAAACCATACTTCGTCAAGTGTCAAACATAATCAGTTTTAAGCCATGAAAGTGTTCAAAGACGTGCACTTCGTTTAAACTGTTCAAAGAATATTATTGATGCTCATTTGCCGTAGTGTATAATTTTAATAGATGAAATAAAAAGAAAAAAAAACATTTTGAAATGTATCAATATTCATTTATTCATTATAATAAAGTATGATTCTATGTGATTTTATACAAAACAAGATATGTTTGTAAAACATGTATGCCCCCTATCGGCAGCCAATTAGTCATGTGATCAGGTTATTATGCATGACTTCTGACCCAGTGAACAAACAATTAATAAGGGTTATCTAGTATCTACTGGTCATGACTGGTCACAAGGTAATAATTATTGTGACCCCCATAGGTTGTGTGCAGCAATTTAAGTTATTACAAATCTTACCAAATAATTATGCATAAATTTTATGAATCATGTAGGCCTCATTAATGACAGCCAAGTTGTTATATTACATAAGACCTTCAAATGTGTATGCCAAAAGCATTTTTAGTTTAATATTAAAAATCAACCAAGGCAACTAGAGTTGTTGAGTTATTGGTCAGAAACCGTCATTAAGTACAAGGTCAATATGACATTGACCCCTTGACCCCAAAATCAATAGGGGTCATCTACTGGTCATGACCAATCATCATACAAAGTTTGAAGTTCCTAGGCCTTAGCGTTCTTTAGTTATTGATCGGAAACCGTTTTTTTTTACAAGGTCAATGTGACATTGACCTTGGACCCCTTGACCCAAAAATCAATAGGGGTCATCTGATGGCAATGACCAATAATCATACCAAGTTTGAAGTTTCAAGGCCTAAGCATTCTTTAGTTATTGATCGGAAACCGTTTTTACCTACAAGGTCAATGTGACCTTGACCTTTGACCCCTTAACCCAAAAATCAATAGGGGTCATCTGCTGGTCATAACCAATCACCATACCAAGTTTGAAGTTCTTAGGCCTAAGGGTTCTTAAGTTATTGATCGGAAACCGTTTTTACCTAAGAGGTCAATGTGATCTGCTGGTCATAACCAATCACCATACCAAGTTTAAAGTTCCTAGCCTAAGGGTTCTTTAGTTATTGATCGGAAACCGTTTTTACCAAGAGGTCAATGTGACCTTGACCTTTGACCCCTTGACCCCAAAATCTATAGGGGTCATCTACTGATCATGACCAATCACCATACCAAGTTTGAAGTTCCTAGGCCTAAGCGTTCTTTAGTTATTGATCAGAAACCGTATTAACTTACAAGGTCAATGTGACCTTGACCCCTTGACCCAAAACTCAATAGGGGTCATCTGCTGGTCACGACCAATCATCATACAAAGTTTGAAGTCCCTAGGCCTAAGCGTTTTTAGTTAATTGATTGGAAACTTTTTTTACCTACAAAGTCAATGTGACCTTGACCATTGACCCCTTGACCTCAAAATCAATAGGGGTCATCTGCTGGTCATGACCAATCACCATACCAAGTTTGAAGTTCCTAGGCCTAAAGGTTCTTAAGTTATCGATCGGAAACCGTTTTTACCTAAGAGGTCAATGTGACCTTGACCTTTGACCCCTTGACCCCAAAATCAGTAGGGGTCATCTACTGATCATGACCAATCCCAATATCAAAATTTGAAGTCCTAGGCCTAAGGGTTTTCTTTAGTTATTGATCGGAAACCGTTTTTACCTTCAAGGTCAATGTGACCTTGACCCTTTGACCCTTAACCCCAAAATCGATAGGGGTCATCTGCTGGTCATAACCAATCACCATACCAAGTTTGAAGTTCCTAGGCCTAAAGGGTTCTTAAGTTATTGATTCGGAACTGTTTTTACCTAAGAGGTCAATGTGACCTTGACCTTTGACCCCTTGACCCAAAAATCAATGGGGGTCATCTACTGATCATGACCAATCCCCATATCAAGTTTGAAGTCCCTAGGCCTAAGGGTTCTTTACTTATTGATCGGAAACTGTTTTTACCTACAAGGTCAATGTGACCTTGACCTTTGACTCCTTAACCCCAAAATCGATAGGGGTCATCTGCTGGTCATAACCAATCACCATACCAAGTTTGAAGTTCCTAGGCCTAAGGGTTCTTAAGTTATTGATCGGAAACCGTTTTTATCTAAGAGGTCAATGTGACCTTGACCTTTGACCCCTTAACCCCAAAA